AGCCAACGAGGTCGGCCCTCGGTACCTTGATGCTTCCCCCATCCACCAGAGGCATTGGAGACTACTTGGGTGGGAAAGGGCCTGTAATTTAGCTCAGAGGTCTCCTAGAAACATGAGGTTCTTTTACGTGCCGTAAATCTACGACACGGGACACGCAGCTTAAAGTCCCTCCCGGAGGACTTGTTTCCTGAATTTTTCCGCCCTTAAAAATTCCACAACCTCCGCTGGGTTTGAACTCGCGTACCTTGAGTCATGAGGTGGGAACATTACCCCTAGACTACGGAGGCCTATATGTTACAAAACTAAATACAATGTGGTTTTAAAATTGTTAATAGTAATACTATTTGTATTTAGTTTCATACATATCCTTATAGTAGTAAAGTGTAAAAATATATTAATCATGAGGGCCAAAGTCTGAGACTGTGCTTGACTATATCCCCATCATTATTGTGCTAAATTAACTTTGTACCTAATATGGAAGATTGCTAGATCACTTCAACTACCTGCTCGGTGCTGTTCAGTCACTGCAGACTCATCCACTCCTAGTAACATCGCCAAGACTCTATCTGGTTGTAACAAGCGACCTAAAGTCGTGGCAGGTCCTGGGTTCTCATAAATATGATGCAGAAATTGTGGGCAGATAATCACAATCTGCAGCTTCACATGTGTCATCTTTTCTTCAATGGCAAGAGGCACCACTTGTGGACCAACAACATCCTCCAAACCTACACACATTATCCTGCAACATTACATGATAAGCTTAAGTCATTTCAATCATTTTTAGTCTTCTAAACACACAGCCAGAAAATGTGATATTGCACTCACAAAGGAGTTTGGCACTAACATAATTAATACTGTGGGGGGCCACATATATTTTGGAAGCAGGAAGCTAATTTAGCTGACTAAGAAAGGTGGTACCCTAAGGTAAGGTGGCATGGCTCTGAGGGAAGTGTGTTGCGAACAGTGCACTTGGGATACAATGTGACTTTCCATTGTATTTAGCCTGCCCCCCACATATGGGGATCTGTGAGAGGTTACCATATTTTCAAGGCTTCTTCTGTAGTGGTCCCTGAGGAATTAAATCAAGAGCCTAGTTTCACTGGACTTCAGTTTTGTCCAGGGATCCTTCTATGAAAGGTTCTGGATCCTTTCTCCCTGCACTGGAAGTTCACCAGGGTTTTCTGCTGCCATGGAGAAATGGCCAGAATATTTCAGAGTTTCCAGTGAGTGGTCCATTAAGGGTGATGCTGGAAGAGGTATCTTGATAGGGGTGAGCAACCTGACTGTTGAGAAGAAGAGTCATACTGACTCACAGAGGAAGCAAGCCAGGAAGAGGAAAACCCTTCACCTCTGAGGGTTTGACTAGAAGCTCTGATGTATGTCCAACTGGGATCAGTGATATGAGCTCTGTTTTTGAGACAGCTCCATGAAGGTGTCCATTACAGACAGTGGATATCCAGAAGCATTACTGTGGAGAGGCTGGATCAGCTGATGGAGTGTGTGAAGGAGTTAAATAGGCTTTATGAGGGGGGAGCTGCCCCTTTATTCTGTGGCACTTTCCTGTGAGGAGGGGTAGTATATGTAATGTGCGTTGATGAAGGAGCTAATGACTGACTCTCAAGGGTCAAATCTAAAGACCAGACCTTACCTTGTAATTTGTGTGGACTTTCTCCCGAAACCCACACTATATAGTGGCATGGATGCTAGAGTACCGCTGTCGAGGGTCACCATACTTAGGACATTGTGAAGGCAATATGAGTTTGAGAACAGGCATACGGTGGTTCTCGAGGCTCCCCTAAAAGGGTCCAGCTTCATTTCGAGGTGGGTAGCGCCTTCGCCAAGGAAATTATGATGCAGCTTTTATGCTGTCTAGAGGTACAAAAAAGGAGGTTCATGCATCCTTCATAGTTGCCTGAATATGGGACTCTCCTCCCTGCAGATTAACTTGCAGCATAGCAGAAAGGTAACTTACTGTGGAGCAGACTAATGTAACCCTAATATAGAAACCCTGGGCTTTAAGGCAATGCATAAGATGTAGGAGATGGTTGAGATGTGGCATTTTACTGCCCCTGTGCAGAAAGAACCATTAAGTATAGACACAACACCGTTTCCAACACGGATGTGGTGGCTATCTTGGTGAATTATAGAGTCAAAGGTGAGAGAGTGGAGCTTCTGCCATCAACCAAGATGATGGAAATGATTCATTATTGCTGTAAAAGACGATTAGTTCTCATTCTTGGAATGTGATGTTAACTCTCACCACACTGTGTACAGAAGATTTGATATCAGTACTAAGGGCAGGATATTACTGGTGGAGTAATTAGTAACTACAATTTAGAGATGACAAATCAAGGAGAAGAACCAACATTCCAGAATGAGAGAAGGCCTAAATCAATAGATTTATATTCCAGGGAAATGGAGAGTAAGGTTCAAGATGGAGGGTGTTGTCAAAACTGTCCTTGTTGGATCATAATCACAACCAATTTAATCCTGTAGACAAGCAAAAGGAAAAGGTGAAATATGTTCATCCCATCATCATTACCTCTTCTGTTCTGGTGGAAATGGGGCCTTGATTGAAAATCCACTGCAGTCTCATCAGAATGCTACCTTACTGGAAGTTCCATGGAGAAGTTCCTACAGTCTTGTTTACAGGATTGAAAGTGTCTTTGAATATGGGCTTGTCGCTCTGGGAAACTATCTGGACATCAGAAGTGTGTCTAACAACATTACGGTAGCTGCAGAGCTTGGTTTGAAGGTGTGATAATGTGGATCCATGCCATGCTTACAAGCTGGCAAACTAAATTGCATCAGATGGTTGGCGGTAGAAGAATTAGTTCTACACTGTCAAGCTTCACTGAACTAGATGCAGCTACTTACCTAAAAGGCGGTTTCTTGCGTGATTTGCTGATCTGATCAAAGCATAATTTGAGGTAGTTAACCCACAGAGCAGCTGTCTGACTCTGATGACTTGATACTATCAAGATGTCATCCATGTCTGCAACTCGACTACCTAAAGGGACAAAAGTAATTTAATAATATAGGTGAAATTATTTAATTATAGCTTAAAACCAATTGACATTTCTATGGAAGATTTTTAAACACAAACTTTGTAAAAACAGTAGCTAACCTCAGCAAACTTGAAAATGTAAAAAGACAGCTAGATTTATACAAAGATAGTAAACTTAAAATAACAAAAATATGCACTATATGATGCTATTAATCAGAGGAAATACTTTTTGCAAACACTGCCCATTAGAACAATCATCCTCAAAACTACAAAACTTCTCTCTTTCTTCAGCTGACAACACATCATACATTTCTTTCAGTCACAACTTGATCAACTATTGCAGTCCTTGGTTGCATAATTTGTCCCTCAGGTACAAAGTAAACAATCACAAGAACTTTAACAAATTTGATTATCTGCCATACACAGCATTCTTTCCCATGTACATTTTGTAATCTTCCTCTGCATTATTACGCTGCCAGACAATATTCTAAATAACTGAAATGGAATGGGCAAGACATTAGAAATAAACAATTCTCATTAAGATTTCATTGAACATTCAGGCTATCAAAAATGGAAATCTGTTTTTTCCAAACGTAATCGAGTCAGGCATAGGTACTTCTTAATGGTAGATCCTAAAAGGTTCTGATGATGGTCTATAATACTCAGAATTACAGGATTTTCAGACTTTGTCCATTATCTGGTATTCTAGAAACTAGAAAACACAATGTTTTGGGAACTGGATCTGTTTACATTCTCAGGTGGGGGGGAAGACACCTACCCAGTTGGGTCCTTCAGAAAGAGCTAACCTCATTCACTGGACAACCCCTGTCAGATTCACTACAGCTATTTAATTATATGAAGCCAGGCTAATTTGAAGGGAGCTGATGAACTAAACGTCTTGATAAAGCTTTTTCTCTTGAGTCCTCCCTCCCCAAAAGAAACACTTAAGTTTATAAATTTTTTATTTTGAAGGTGGCATTTCTAATCTAATAAAGCTCCAAAGTGAAAACTACTTTAAGCGAAGTTTAATAATAATAACAATAATAATAACATTAATTTTATACTGCAACGGAATTTCATGGCAGAACACCATTTGGGAGGCGCTCTTTTACAATATTAAAAAGGAGATAGGTAGGCCTGTTAGCAGGCTACTTTTCGACCATGCAGGAAATGAACAGCGTGACAACAGCAAGAGTACTGTACAATCAACGGCATTGGAACCAGTACCTTGCATTTATGAGCTTGTCTGATAGTCCTTCCTGCCAGTTCACTTCCCTGTGACTAATCCGTTTTGAGACGCCAATACGAGTATTCTGCAACAACCAGATGCCAACTGGAAAAGCCAACAAGGAAAACGTACTCCAGACTGAACACTAGCTTTAATTCTACTGATGAACTAAATTTGTGGTCATCCTTGAACGGTTCATAACCATTTGAAGAGTTAAAAACTTTCTGCTTTTACGAATTCGGAAGACCCATCAACGCGCTCACAAGAGCCCGCCACTGTACCCTGTCCTGAGCCATTTCACTGTTCTGCACTTCATAAACCACTTCCTCGAGCTCCGTTCTCACAGTAGGACTATCCCACGTCTACGCCTAGATTTTAAAGTGGTCTCTTTCCTTCGGGTTTTCCGGCCAAACGCTTATAGGCTTGAATATTGTCTCCATCATCATCATCATCATCATTTCCCTGACGTCAGGAGGTGAAGTATGCACGTTGTGAAGCTTGCCATTGTGATAGTAAGTTTCTCCAATCTGCCGTTATGTACCGCCCTATCCCTCCAATCTGGAGTCGACATAGCGCAGTCGGTACAGCTACGGGCTATGGGCTGGAACGGCCGGGTTCGATTCCCGGCAATGCAAGAATTTTCTCTTCTCCACAACGTCCAAACCGACTACGGGGCAACCCAGCCTCTTGTCCAACGGGTACCGGGGGGCTTTTTGCTAGGGAGTAAAGCGGCCGGGTGCGTGAAGCTAATCACTCACCTCGATCTACTGCCGAGACAAAAAAAGGCGGAGCTGTACCTGTACTCCCGCAAGCGTCTTCATAGCACAGTGCTTAATTAATTCAGCATAAGGACAAATTTACCTTCTTTGTCCCTTCAGCGTAAATAACCACCTAAACAGCTTTTAGTTATGTGACGTCAAATCGAACTCCATAATTACGCCGTGTTTCTCTGCAGATTCTTTTGTTTCCTTCTGCAATGTTCAAAAACCAGTGACGATTCTATGAACGTTCCTAACACACACAGCACAAGATCTGTAATGAAACTGACGTAAGAAAGCGAAACCACCAAAACACCACAGGGAACGCTGACCAATTGGAAACAATCACTTCAGTCACACAAACACAAGCTGCAAAGGACACGTGTGGCCGAATCTATTTTATGAGTGTCTGTGTGTATATTTGGGGAAAGGCGTATTCTTCATGTCGGTTAATGCCTATGAGCATGCTTCGTAAGTAACGACTGCGTTACCAATCACAAAGTCACTGCATGTATTTAGTGACGGGTATTTCCCATGCCACTGACTCAGTGAGACTTACTGTCCGTCTAGTTGAATTATGAAGTTGCACCAACACCAGATAAATTAACCAATTCCTGAACGGAAGTTCTTTAACAAATTTTGGTTACCCTGCAATAGTAACCGGTTATATTTTCGCCCCATGCTAGGGTCTACACTCTCCGTGTTCGAGCCCCATCATTTAATTCAACATATTTGCCATTATAATAGGTATTTAAGTTGAGGCGTACACATACTTAAATCTGGAAATGTTTAACTAACTTCACAGAGCTGAATCCTTCTTAGAAAGCTAATTCAAATAATTCTCGGAATTCCATGGACCCCGAAGGCTAATTATCCTAAGCCAAATGCGCCCAGTCCACACGCTCCAATCCCATTCTTAAGACCTACTTTAATATCATCCTTCTATTTACACCTTGGGTTTCATAGTGGTCTCCTTCCTCCGTGCTGTTCTACAGAACATACCCAAACACTATCTTCGTTCCCATGCGTGACTCACGTCCTGCCCATCCCATCGCCCATGATCTTGCATTTAGTGGCAAAATAGGTGACAAGGCCAATGCTGCAGTTTGTTTCATTCAGGAGTAGATACAAATGAAATGTTTAAATGATATAAAGTAAAGTAGAAAGTAAAGCCATCCCTGTGACAGGCCTTGGAGGTCCATAGGGATGTGATATGTTGAGGTTCCAACATTTTCTAGACAATCGGCTCATAGATGGCGGTAAGGTTGTCAGCTCTACGCGCCGGCCGCCCTTTACCCCCAAGAATATTCCTGGTACTCATTTCTGTTAGAGGCTGAGTCGACCCCAGGGCCTTAGTACGGCTGGAAGGATTAGGTAAATTGAAAAAATCCAACGACCTCATCGGGATTAGATCCCGCGACCTTCCGGCTTGTAGCATAGTGCCTCAACCAACTACGCTATCGCGTGCCACGTTTACTCGATAGTCCATTGTTATATATAATGTGATACTATTAAAATCAAGCAGACCCATAAGACGTTGGTGAAGTATGCCATAGCCTAGGGTCACGAAGGTTATGGGGGCCCGGCGTGAGGCGGGCACGCAACTTTCAAGCATGAAAGCATGGAAGACTCCTATGGCTTTTAGATGCAGCAAAAATAATGTGTCTTTCCACACCATGTCTCCAACGGTTCTAGTAAATAATAAAGTATCAAACACACACAGACACACCACCATATTTTTCAGTGACTCGTAGCTACGCACTGAATACAGGTTTAGAGTCACGAATACTCCTAAACTGCCTTTGTCCAGAGGGCTTACAGAGTATAATAATCAGAGGATTAGATGTAAGATTTGAGGCTTTCACGGCGGTGACTATGAAGAAAGCAGTCTTCTGGGATTTGGCACCGTGTATATGTGGTCTGCTCCTACCGTTCTCACGGTCTTGTCGCTTGCAGAATTCTTACACTTTTTCTTCTACCCTGAAGATGGAGGCGATACGATCCTCCGAAACGTCGGTTAACACCACATATACACGGTGCCAAATCCCAGAAGACTGCTTTCTTCAGAGGATTAGATGTTGCGGTTCTCTGACATTAAGTTTACCAAACAAAATGTTGGCTGGAACTTACCGTTTACACCTAAGTGACGTTTCCCCGACATTTCTTCCGTTAACAAGGGCGTCACTATATTTCCACACATTCAGAGGCCTGCAACTAAAAGTACCTCTACGCAGCTGTCTTCTCGCGATCTTCCATAAATAATTTCTCCGAACAACTCGTGGATCACTGCATAAGAATCATTTATATGCATTGCTCATCTCTCACGCCTTCATGAAAACTAAATCCAACAGAAAATATGGCCTATTTGGGGAACATCATGTAGTTCTCTGTCACTGAAGGTCACGTGACTCTCAATCCGTGGTTGAAAACGAAGGGAGGAAATGCTCCACATAGACTACACAGACCTCCGTGGCTTGTTGAGCCTCCAAAGCGCTCTTCAGCAGAGTCTGAATCTTGATGAGGGTAACGTAAACCGTTATAAACTTTGTGAGAATGCTTCGGCCACTGACAGTTCTCGTACAGAAGTCTGCTGTTTCGGGGCGAAAGGCGAGGTAACGAGATGGGATCTGAACTACGTGACGATGTTCAGACTTTCACATTCAGCGCCATAGATACGTGGGGGATTGGGGGGGGGGGAGTTATAGCTGCACGAATTGTTCATCTCAACACTAGACTCTGAGGCGAGCTGTCAGCTTCACGCCCATGCCGCTTTACCCTCAGACATGTGGTCCACAATGCCCAACAGATGTGAGGCTGGGTGGACTCAGAGCCAGTACAGATAAGACAGGGAAGTGAAAGGGTACTGTCCCCGCCGGGGATTGAACCCCATCTGTCCAGCCCGTATCCTAGTCAATGTACGGGCTGAGATCCCGAAATAAACTTCTTGACTGCGTGAGGAGGAATGCCTTGCAATGCTATTACAGATCAATCGATGGTGCTTGAGTAAGCACAGGGAC